TAGTTAATAACAGTATTACTGTATTAGTTTAACAATTTTACAATGTAGGCTATAATGGTCATTCATATTTTACGACGCACTTTTCCTAGCCAGTCTGTATCCGGATATCCCCGTCCTGCTCAATTTTATGGTACGCTCCAGCTTCTTAGCTGGCAGAGAAATCTACAACCGTATGTTTTAGATCCTTTTGTGCCTTTAAATTTACATTAAATCAAACAATAACCCTCAGCAAATGTTCACAACATACTTAATGAGTATGTAAAAGGTGAAAATAAAATTAATACCTAAAGGAAATTGGCCAATTTAAGGCAAAAGGTACAACAACAGTACAACGCAGATTCATTAACAATGGCATAAAGCTATACCAAGCTTCGTCATAAATGCCTAGACAGGATTGTTCATTCATATTGAAATTAGTGTTTTGACGGTGAATTTTTTCATCTAATGGGAATATATTTTATATGAGAAGAATCTATGAATGTTCAGCTCTCATTTTACATTGGGAACAACAAGATATTTGATTGGTGAACAGCCGAAATGGCAATTTAAAGCCAACGAAGTCGCTAAAAAGAGGTAAAAATGCAGCCTCTACGCGGTCGGCGGTCAACATAGCACCAATCGAAAAGTGAAAAATGGCGGTGACTTTTTTCAAGCAATACAATTGAAACAAATACTAAAGCAATAAAAAAAAGAATTGCATTTCAAATACCGAAGGGTACACAAAAATCCGACAAGTAGGCCTATTTGCCGAGATACGACTGTGGAAAGACGAAAAATGACCCAAAAACAGCTTATGTCGGTGCGAAATGCAGCGTGAAACACTAATTTGCTTGGCTATTCTCGCTGTTAAACGAAAATGTTGCAAGAAGAATCCCTTTGTAAAAAGTGCCCCTTTTAATAGTTGTAAATATTGTTATTATAGTCCAGAGGCCTACTTTATTTGCAGAATATGTGAAATGAATGAATGCATGAAATGACTGATGATCACATCATCACATAGGCCTATGATGAATTAATCCTTCGCGTTAAGCCTCGTCTGTCGTCAATAGCGCCAGTGGACCATGCTGTATGGACATCATTTTCGAAGTCCTATAGCTTCGCAGCATCGAGCGAAGTTTCTTAGCTTACAACAGTGGAATTTTAATAAACTTTAATTGAACAACAAATTAGCATTGCATTTGCAGACTGACAGTAAAAATTGCCCCTTTTAATAGTTGTAGATATTGTTATTATAGTCCAGAGGCCTACTTTATTTGCAGAATATGTGAAATGAATGAATGCATGAAATGACTGATGATCACATCATCACATAGGCCTATGATGAATTAATCCTTCGCGTTAAGCCTCGTCTGTCGTAAATAGCGCCAGTGGACCACGCTGTATGGACATCATTTTCGAAGTCCTATAGCTTCGCAGCATCGAGCGAAGTTTCTTAGCTTACAACAGTGGAATTTTAAACTTTATTTGAACAACAAGTTAGCATTGCATTTGCAGACTGACAGTAAATGTATCGCCTCAATGTATTAAATCCACCACCTGTTTCATTTTTACACTGATTAAAATACAAGCTCATACAACGTAGATATTATTATAGTCCAGATTAGTAAAGCCTACTTTAATTGTAGAATATGTAAAATAAATGAATGCATGAAATGACTGATGATCACATAGGCCTATGATGGATTAATCCTTCGCGTTAAGCCTCGTCTGTCGTAAATAGCGCCAGTGGACCACGCTGTAAGGGCATAATTTTCGAAGTCCTAGCTTCGCAGCATCGAGCGAAGTTTCTTAGCTTACAATAGTAAAATTTTAATAAACTTTAATTGAACAACAAATTAGCATATTGTATTTGCAGACTGGCAGTAAATGTATCACCTCAATGTATTAAATTCATCACCTGTTTTATTTTTGCACTGATTAAAATACAAGCTCATACAACTTCCATGATTATGATTTCAGTATCATTTCACACCCACAGAGCAGCAGATCGTTCAATGCCCACACATTGAAAATAGCGCATTTCAATAGAACAGCTATTAAATAGCATTTTGTATTTTCAGACTGACGGTAAAATGTAAATGTATTAAACTTTAGAATCTACTATCAATCATTTCTTTTATTCTTGCATAAATTCGAATGCAAATCCTTTACAAAGGCTGAATCTTGAGGCTGTAAAAATGAATGGGTATGTCGTTCCAGCCATAGTCAGTTGACCATGCTCTAACAAAATCGAACACTGCGTTACTC